TCACTTGTCTTTAATGTGCATTTTCCTTAGTATTAAAGAAACCATTTGACATATTTTTATGTAAGCTTATGCATTATTTGAAGGGGATTTTATAATCATATCCATTTTTTAAGATTTCAATTTTGAAGAAACTATTCAAAATATTCTCAACAAACGTCATACATTAATACAGATTTTAATGTTGCATTATTTACTAATATACACTTGGCGATGCATTCATGTCCTATAGACATATTTCTAGTTAAATCCTTAGCTAAATCATAGTGTTGAACCTAATCAATTCTTCTGATTTGATAATGCATATGCTCAGAAAAAATAACTAAGGCTGAACATATCCATTCATTCAGACAAGTCAGGGTTACTGACAAAGAAACTGTAAATTTGCTACAGTATTTGTACCTGTAAAACATTGTTGATACATGTATAATGCAGGGCGGGACATGACCTTGACTGAAGTTCAAGGTCACTAAAGATAAGATATTTTGGCTGGATTCATGGACTAAAAGAATATATAAAAAACATGTGTGTACTTTTTCAGTCGGTAATACACATACCGTATGATTGTCATTGCTTGAAGCAAGGTCATTTAGAAAGTTCAAGTTCACATACATTCCTTTACAGTGTTTTTCATGGCGAAACATTGTAAGTTTCTTCCTTTACAGGCCTTTAGGTTGCTTACTTGTATAACTTTAGAATGTGGCTTGACCTAGACTCAAAGTTACGTCTTCCTATCCGTAGCTCCAACGGAAGACCTATTCGTTGCTTTGCAACGAGCTCGGCTCTAGTTATTCTTATTATTATTTTTCTTCCGCTGATTTTTTGTTTCGACATTTATCGAAGAAACTTTTTGTTCGGCGTAAAGGTCATTAAAAGTTAGGAACAAATTTGACCCAACGCGTATGAACTATGACCACTTTCGAAGTTATTGCCCCTTTCGCAAGAAATGCTTGTTATCGCTACTCCTTTGAAACCGTAAACCGTAGAGGTATGAAACCTTCACCAAGGTCTTTGACTAATTTAGAGGACTCTGGAATCTATTCATTGCAAAAGTATTCGGTGACTCCTTCAATGAGTTATTGCCCCTGAAAGTCTTAAAGCTGACAAGAAAAATTAAAAACTTTTAAAGGAAAAGTGGTAAAGATATGGGACCAAGTGCATGAGATCTTATGACCTTTGACCTTGAAAAGTAGGTCAAGGTCAAAGGTCAAGGTCATTGGAAAACTAGAGAAATGATCAATTTAAGCTTAAAATCCAAATGACCTTGACCTTTGACCTTGAAATTTAACATTGACCTTGACCTCTGACCTTGACCCTTACTCAGAAGGTAATAAAGAACTATTCATTTCCTTTATCTAGATTCAGCCTCAAGTATTAATCTCGAGTTACACTCTCTCTTCCCTTTTTTTGGGGATGACCTTGACCTTTGACCTTGATAAATGACCTTGACCTTTGACCCCATTGACCCAAAGGTCACAATCAAGCTAAAGGTCGTGGAATAATTTACAACAATCACTCTAACAAATGCTTATAACCCCCCCCCCCCCCTTGTAAAAAAAAAAATAAAATCAACACCAACTTAGAGAAAACGTCTACAAATCAAACGAAACGAAATATCGACATAAAATTCATAATAAAAGGAAGAAGAGACCTGAAAGAAAGTGTCCTGAAAGTTTTAAGGTGAGTCTCTTAAGTACAATGAAATTCTAGAGAATATCGGCAAAATCTGCATTTTTTTCTGTCTGAAATTAAGCTACTGCTGAGCATAAAAAGTAATTAAAGCTTGCATTGGCTATTTCTGCAATTATTGTTAATATCATTCGATTCTCCTGCTCTATTACGACATTTTAATACCAAGTATTCTAGCTTTCTTAGGTGTATGGAATTTATTTTAATTTTATTTAGATTTAAATATGAATCGGCTGAAACTCGGAAATAGCGATTTTTCATATAAAATAAATTTGCATGCTCTCCGTGACACCGTCTTCTGCATGAAATGCATGTTTCCAGTTTAATTTATGCTCATAACTATGAATTCAATGCAAATAGAGATGATTATTTATTCTAACCTATGAGTTCGCCATTTCTGTCAAAACAAACGCGCCTATATTTTCACAAATTGTAAACACAGTGCCGACACGGAAGTTCGAATGTATCATAAGCTCTGTATGATTAACTCAATCTATTCAAACTACAAACAAACTCAAATGATTTTTTTTAATAGGAAATCTCCATTTTCATTATCCACCAATCGTTTTTCTCAGAACTATTCATTATTCCTCTCTATGTTCCATAACAAACAAATAAATACACGTGTTTCTGTACTATTTTTATTTAAATCCACGTGCTTTCAATTCTTCTTTTTTCTTCACTCTTAGTTTACGGAAAACAATGTCATCGGAGCCTGTGGTGTAGTGCGTAGAGCGCTCGCCTGGCAATCTGAGGGCTGAGGGTCCACAGTTCGAATCCTGCTGGCAGCACTTATTAATTTTTTTTTTTTTTTTTTTTTTTTTTTTTTTTTTGTTTTCCTTCTTTAATTCAAATGACATGAAAACTTAAAAGAAAGGTGGGAAGACCATTAATTGTTCAGTGAACAATTAGTCTACTAGTGTTAAACTACAATGTAGATCAAACATAGCCCCCGAAACTTTCGTATTGCTACGCCTTCAAAACCATTAACCGTAGGGATGCGAAACCTTAAACAGTGTCTTCAACTACTTTAAATACTTTGACCTTCAAGTTTAGGTCAAGGTCAAAGGTCAAGGTCATTCATTTTTAGGTCTTTCCACCTTTCTGTGGAAAGACCTATTGATTTTCTTCTGTTTATTACTATTATTATTAGGTCTTTCCACCTTTCTGTGGAAAGACCTCTTGAAATGCTTCTGTTTTTTATTATTCTATTTCTCACCTTATGTTTTGACACCGTAAGACTTATCGAAAAACTTTATAGTTCATGATACTGGATATTTAAAGTTATTCCGAAAAATGACCCCCCATGTTTTAACTTGGACCCCTTATGCAGTTATTGCCCCTTTCACCGTTAAGCTTGTTATCGCTACTCCTCCGAAACCGTAAACCGTAGAGATTTAAAACCTTCACCATTGTCTTCAACTAATTTAGGAGGCTTTTCAATCTATTCATTGCGAAAGTTTTCTTTGACCCCTTCAATGAGTAACTGCCCCTGAAAGTTTATAAATTTTATAAAAAACTAAAAATTTTCAAAACGAGAAGTCGTAGAGACATGAAACCAACTGCATCAGTTTCATTGACCTTTGGCCTTTAAATTCATTTCAAGGTCAAAGGTCAAGGTCATTCCAAATATGAGGAATAAATTTCTTTTAATAGCTCCTATATCCTTAAACATATAATATCTATCTTCTGTCTGTAATATGCACTCTTCATACTCTTTTGAAGATTCCATTCTTGTCCCCTAAGATTGACCCTTTTAAAAGTTATTGCCCCTTGTGTGAAAAACCTTGTTATCGCTACTCCTCCGAAACCATAGACACTATAAACATCAAATTTTCACTAATGTCTTAAGGGTCTTTAGGCCTAAATTCATCGTATAAGTGCGAAAGGATCTGATGACTCCTTATATGAATTATTGCCCTTTAACATCTTTGTACTTACTATTAAACCTTATTACTTGAAAAGTATAAGTCGTAGAGGCATGGGGTCAATTGCATTGTGACCCTTGACCTTTGACCTTGAAGATTTTTTTAAGGTCAAAGGACAAGGTCACTTCATCTTTTTTTTTTTTTATTTCTTCTTTATTTATCCTTTTAAGACAAATTTTGTTTTCTTATTCATTGAATTTAATTTTAAGGAGTCAGATATAAAACAGAATTGAAATTCAAAGAAGGTGGAAAGACCTCTTATTGTTCTTTGAACAATAAGTCTCCTAGTTATTTACTTATTTTCTTCTCAACCTAATGTATGCTGTATTTTATTACTAAGTATGTAATAAACATATTAATACATACCTTTTTCCATATCACATCCTGTATCAGCCCTCGACCAATATCAGCCCTCGGGCCTTCGGCCCTCTGGCTGTTATTGGTGTCTCGGGCTGATACAGGATGTGATATGGAAAAGGGTATGTATTATTCTCTATATCTAGAAACCAGAAATTGAAATATCGTATGTTTATTTTGCTCTTATAGAAAAAAAAGGAAAGGGAATGTGGTTTTCCTTATAATGATACGAACCATTTTTAGGAACTGTTGACATTTTTATTCACTCTTGTTTGAGAACAAAAGTTATGGTAATTCATCCTTTTCTACGTCTATAATTCGCAAAAATATACGTCGTCGACACAATGACTTTGTTTGCAATATGTTTTTATTTGTAAGACAAGGAGCACTCAGCAGGTGTACGGTCAACAAGGGATGCTTACTCCTCCCTGGCATCTGATCCCAACTATTGATTTGCCAGGGGTTTGCTTCCTCTCATTATAACCCCCCCCCCCCCCCCCCCCCCCCCCCCCCACTTAGAAAGTTGGTGGATATCTAGCGATCGAGATGTCCATCTCTGTACGTCCATCTGTCTGTTACGTCTTGGGGTACTCTTCTCTTATGAATGAAATTTAATGAAACTTTCAAAGATTCTTTGTAACATAGTATCATTATGACCCCCTACTAGTATTTCACTTTTTGATCGGACACATATTTCGGGGGATTTTCCATAGCACTGAACATTGACACTGCCACTTTTTTAATAATATTGAAGGGTACCCATCTCTTATCCGCTAGTCCTCCTATACCACCGATACTTTCACAGATTCTTTACTACGTAATGCCATTCTTACCTCCAATTTTACTTTATTTCGGGTGTCTCCCAGAGCAAAACATGGACTCCTATTATAATTATATGGGAGGCGAGGGGTATCTTTAGGAGCTCCGTGCTCACAGTAGCTTTAGGTTTGTATCATTTAATAGATTTATACTGTTTGTTATCTTCAAATTCTGATTTTTAGTACTTAGATGTTTAGCATGTTTTGACAGGTGGACAGGCGGAATTGACGACAACAACGACACAAACACCGGAAGTATGCATGGATCTAAATGCTGCTTTCTGCAGCACCACATCTGTTCAGTCTTCTATATGTTCCGACCCCGACCTGTCTGTAAACTGGTGCAGAAAAACATGCGGAAGATGTCGTAAGTGAACATGAGTTTTTTTTTACTTTCATTAAAAAGATTAGGAAGTTTCCGTGCAAAAGAGAGAAACAAATGAAAATGTAATTGTCTAACAATCTCTTACATGCCATTGAAAGCAAAAAAATCAACATAAGATTAAAAACGTGTATGCTTGCATTTTAATTGATATGGATCGTTTTGTTAGCTACGACGACCACCACCACCTCGGTCCCGTGTGTGGACAACACCCCGGACCTATGCAGTGCTCCAGGAGCAGACCTAGTCTTCTGCTCAGATCCTGCGCGCGCAGTCAAATACTGCCAAAAAACCTGTAATAAATGCGGTAAGTTAATGCTACATGACATTGATTGACTACGTATTGTTTTACGTCCCTTTCGAGAAAGTTTCACTCAAACTGAGGCATCAACATATACCGGTGAAGGGTCTCGAATTTTAAACCTTATATTCGATCGGTACTCTGTTCCGTAAGCGTTGAGAAGTGAGGGATATTTATCGTGCCAACACCTACCGTGACACGGGGCCTTGGTTTACAAGGCTTTATCCAAAGAACCCGCAAACTTTTTTTTTGAAATGCCGAGCGCTTGGTGGCGGAACAGGTGCTACCTATTTTATCGACTTCAGGTCAGTTGTGGCAGGTGTTCAAACCCAAGACCTTCCTATCATATGGAGCAAGCGCTCTACCAAATGAGTTTCCGTTGCGGTCATTGCCTTTAATTAAATATAGCATATAAAGTAAGGATTGTAAAACAATTTGACAGAAACTAATTCAGAAGCTTCCCTAATAAGAATAAAGTTTTGATAATTGTCAAATATTCTACAAATCAAAATCACAAGTTTGAAAGAATAACAATCAATAGGTTCTCACAAGAGTTTCATCCATCCGCACGTCTTGATTAAATTTAAATTATTCCCAAAAATGTTTTCAAACTGTCTTTGTTTTATTTATATTAAACAGATGGATATATAATTGAAATACAAATTAAGCATAAGTATTTATTATTAAATTATCCTGCTCAAGTATCGTGGTTAAAATCTTTTTAACACAACTTTGAAACAACAGATATCCATCTACATCAAAACACGGCCACACCAGTACGTTCTACAACTGCGACAACAACGACAACACCAACAACCACCACTACAACACCAACAACTACCACGACAACACCAACAACTACCACGACAACACCAACAACTACTACGTCACCACCCTGGTTGTGCGAGGACTACGACGTAGCCCACTGCGCTGATCCGGAAGTCAAATTGTTGGTGTGTCTGGATATTAATTTGAATTATCTCTGTAGAAAAACGTGTGATTTATGTGAGCACAAAGGTTGAATAAATAAACTCATATTGTATTCACTCTCTCGGACACTTAATTGATTTATGTAACTCTTTTTCATGTTTTGTTGTTGTCGTTTTTGTTGTTGTTGTTATTGTTTAACGTCCCTCTAGAATTATTTTTCACTCTTTTGAGACGCCAGCACTTGCTATAGTCGTTGGAGTGCTGTAAATTTTTACTTATGCTCGGCACTCAGGTCCAGTGAGCAGTATGGGATCACCTACTGCGACACAGGACCTCGGTTTATACGGTTTTATCCGAAGGACCGGTCTCCACGTCCTACAGTAGGTGGAATTCAAACCCACAACTCCTTACTCCGCGACTCTACCACGCTGCCACGCGAGCGACATCTTTCCATTTGAAACAACTTTTATTAAATATTTTAAAGATTAATTGACACTTTTTTGTTTACGCCCAATGGAGAATACTTGACCATGCAAAGATACGACCAGCTTTATGTGAATTGATCATTATTAGCATTAAGATTCTTTCTCTTGCCAATGCCTATCGAGACATGGGCATCTCGGTTTTGTAGGAGTAGACACACTATTTGACGTCTTAAGATTGCCATCTTCCTGTCACGATGCCTGTCTAATGAAACATAATTAGAATGAAAACTAGAGCAAAGCTCGTTGCAAAGCAACGAGTGGGTCTTCCTTCCTAGCGATAAGCAAAAGATTAAATGTTTCTGTCTAGATTGTCAACTTTGCTAACATTCTCTTTTTCGATTTGTCTCAAAAACCCTTACTTGAATTCTTTAATTTGGTGTGAGCATGAGGTCTAAAAGGTACTCTCTCTAACAGCATTCTTGAAATCGTATCCACAACAGTTAAACTTCCAATATTATGACTTTTGATATCGGATATATCATGTTTGTTGCAATTATGTTTGTGAAACGTGTCATACTACAGAAACATAAGTGTTTTGCTACATTACCATCTTAAAAATGGCTTTAAAATCATTTAATATACAATATAACTAGGTAAATAAAATAAACAAATTATATAATAAATCAAAAAATCCAAATGTATTTACAATAATGATGAACAATCTTCATTAGTTGCAATCAGTTAGTAGAACAATACTTTTATAATAAACGCACAGAAATGTGTTGTGTATGTTTCAAATTTGCAGCTTTCCACTAGCAAATGGTGGTACCTCAATAGGAGTGTAAAATTCTCTGAAAGGTATATTGTAAACATAATACATATGGCTGTGAATTCTTTTTAGCGGCTTTGGCGGAATGCAGCAATCACTAAATCAAGTACAAAGCTAAAAGTCTTGTACATAAACATAAATAAGAACATCTACGCTAACTTATTCAAAAGTCAATTTCCACCAAATATTGTACAAGCTAAATATAATACATTTACAGCATTAAAGAAACAAATCTCTTTGAAGGTATTGCCCTGCATAAGAACAATTTGAATCCCCTACACTAAGGATGCTCTGTGCCAAGTTTCACTTTGGTTCTGGAAAATGATATTGTGAAATTTTAGACAATGATGATAATGGATAAAATTATGTTTTTAAAAAATTTACTGGTTCCTTTAGCTCAGATGGGCTAATAAGTATGCAACAGGCACAGTTTTGCAGTTGACATTGAAATGCGACTGGACATCTCTTCAATCTTGTTTTAGAAAACTACATGTACATGCCCTATGTACTGAATTCCTTGGAATCATACACGTTTATGCCTTTATTTAGTTGTATGTGCCAAAATAACATTTTTTTTAACATTATACTGTAAAAGATACACATACATATATTACAAGATCTTATATTCCTGCTGAAGACAGAGGATCTATCTTAATCATTAGAATAAGTAAGTCTAAACTTTGAAAGGGAAGACCTTAATAAAGAGGTCAACATGCAACACAAACAAAATATTATTATATTTAAAATAACATTTATTCCAATGTTATTACTGGTACATGTATTTCTGTTACAATAACTATTTCACTTGAAAAACTGAGAGCAATTGATATGTTCATATTTGTTGATTTATGTTGTCAAATCAAAATTTAAAAATAATACACAGTGTGTTTAAAAGTTGTCTTCACAAACCAAAACTTGACTTATTTTCACTATGCTGTTTATTCCATGTCACATCCAAACAGATGATCTTCTGGCAAATCATGGTCATGCTTGGTATCAAAATTCAGTATTCAGATGAGTCACACCTATCCAAAAGAAATTGAAATTTTTTAATTTATAATTCTTTTACTGATAAAAAGTGCAATTCATGAGATTATAAAATTGAGAGATAAGATATTGTCACATTTTCTGTGTATAATTTGTAAATTTTAATGTACTCTTTCATCAATTAAAAGAAGTTTACACCAATTAAGGCAGTCATTTATGCTATCCCCTAATTAGACAACATACAAGTGCAAAGTAATCATGCACTAGTGGGTTTAGGATAATGTGCTAGAGTATTTATGACAACATACTAGCACGAGGTGACAATAAGCTAGCATGTACGTCAGTGATAACATGCCAGCACACTGAATCCAACATGCAGTGAAGCTAACACTCAACAGATTGTTTAGAGTTGTGTTTGCATGATATTTTGGTTTGTGTTAACACAGCAGCGTGTTGTTTAAAGCTGTATTGGAGTGGCAGTCTGTTGAAATTAACATGCTTACACACTTCAACTTCACATCATTGGAACACCATAATTTTAAAAACTGGCAAACCAATATCTTATGATTGCTAACTAGGTAATTGCAACTGTAAATGCTGATTTCATGGTGACAATAATACCGGTAATTCACTGTATATCTGAGAACTGATCAATTATAATAAGGCATGTCCAGATAGGGCCACTTGCTAAAGCTCAATAGCACTTTCATAAAAACGTGCCATCTTGCCGACACAAAAGACGCCATTAGGCTATCACACAGCTCGCCATCACAACACTGAAAAACAATTTCGCACTAACACAAGTTCGCACCACACGCTGTCACACTAACACACAACACACTGTCACGCTAATACAATTTCACACAACAAAATATCAGGCTAACACGAGTTCAAACAACACACTATCATGCTAACACGAATTCACAAACACGCTGTCTCGCTAACACAAGTTCACACAACACGCTGTCTCGCTAACACAAGTTTTACACAACACACAGTCTGGCTAATACGAGTTCATACAACACACTGTCTAGCTAACACAAGTTCACGCAACACACTGTCACGCTTAGATGAATTCACACAACACACTTTCACGCTAACATGAGTTTACACAACACGCAGTCTCACTAACACGAGTTTACACAATACACTGTCACGCTAACACGAGTTTACACAATACACTGTCACGCTAACACAAAGTCACAAAACAGGCTGTCTCACTATTCACTAACACAAGTTCGCACCAAACGCTGTTGCGATAACACAATGTCATCCTAATACCATTTCACACAACACACTGTCATCCTAATACCATTTCACACAACACACTGTCAGACTAACACGAGTTCACACAACACACTGTCACGCTAACACGAATTCACAAAACAGGCTGTCTCACTATTCACTAACACAAGTTCGCTCCAAACGCTGTTGCGATAACACACTGTCATCCTAATACCATTTCACACAACACACTGTCATCCTAATACCATTTCACACAACACACTGTCAGGCTAACACGAGTTCACACAACACACTGTCACTCTAACACAAATTCAAAAAACATGCAATATCGCTAACACGAGTTCACACAACACGCTGTCTAGCTAACACGAGTTTACATAACACGCAGTCTCGCTAACACGAGGTCACACAATATGCAATCTCTCTAACACCAATTCACACGACAAATTTTCAGGATAACACAAGTTCACACAACACACTGTCATGCTAACACGAATTCACACAAAATGCTGTCTCGTTAATAAGAGTTCACACAACACGCTGTCTTGCTAACATGAGTTTACACAACACGCAGTCTCGCTAACACGAGTTTACACAACACCCAGTCTCACTAACACGAGTTTACACAACACGAAGTCTCGCTAATACGAGTTCAATCAACACTCTGTCTAGCTAACACGAGTTTACACAACATACTGTCACACTTACACTTTATACACAATTTCACACAACACGCTGTCTCGCTAACACTAGTTTACGCAACACATCGTCAAGCTAACAATGTCTGAACTTGTTTTTAAACTGTCATCACGGTCTTTGTTCATTACCCTGTAAATGAGCCCAGCTTTCAGTACTTCTGAGTACTTTGATTATTCACTGCATAAAACCTAAGACAAAAACATGGTGCAGTAATGTTACTTAACCATGCACCCAGCATTTGAAGTGAATGAGACCTTAAAAACCTCATATTACATGTTAGGACAATGTCACTGAGTTCCAAATAAAGGTCTAAATTAAAACTATTCACTGGTATATATTAACACCTCTAAATGAGTGAAGAAGTGAAAATTCTAAAATAAAATTACCAATCAAAGTATCAATAAGACGCTGATTCTTACATCTCAGGTTCCAATCCCATTGCTAAATGCTTGAGACAGGTTACTCCAATGAGACCGTATAAACCGAGATTCAGTGTCAAAAGGATCCCTTACTTTTCAAAGGCAATAAGTGCTGAGTACAAGTCTATATTTGCAGCTTACTATCCTAAGTGGTGGCATCATCAAATGACTGGAAAATGTTTGATAGGCCAATAATCAAACAAACCATTCCTGCAGTCATCTAAAAAATCAGCAATTTTTCTATTATTACAATTGTTTTTACAAATTTCTTTTGCGATTTATCTGAGCAACATTTGTGCAATTTTTTGTCAATAAATTTTTATACTAAAGACTTTGTTTGAACAGCTTTTTATAGCAAGTACAGACAGCAGCATGAAGCGCTGCTCATAGTGCAAGCTCTCATGACAACGCCTTGGCGAAGAGAAAATTATCACTTGCTTATTCAGTTATTGATCCACACAATTTCTTTTCCGCAGTAACTTTGGATCCACAGTGCTTTGATTCTTTAAGCTACATTCTTGCAAGAATTAACCAAAAGTTTCCAAAAAATAAATTTACCTTGATTTAATGGATAAATTGCAGATAAATAGTGGGGAAAAAAATTCTTCATTAAAGTCAGCACTATTCAAGATTTAGACTGGTAATGTAGGCCTAACTTACACCACGACATCGTGTGACTTCAAAGTCTAGTGCCCTGTTCACAATTGGAGAGTTTAATTCGCAGTAAATTATGGCGAAGTAAACTAATGCGAATCAAACTAATGGGAATCAAACTGTGTTAACATGACAGCTAATGCGAAGTAAACAAATGCGAATAATTACTTCTACAGTCAAGCGTCAGTAAGGCTATCCACTCAAAAATAGCACAAGTACTTGAATCTGACCACCAATATGTAGCATTTGAATTAATTTTGCCATTACACATGCATCAAAATTTAATTCGAATAAGCTTCCCTTTGTGTTCACATGGAGCTAATGCGAAGTAATTTAATTCGCAGTAAATTAATTCGAATTAATAAAACTAATGTCACCGGTTCACAGGTGCGTGAAAGTCAGTCAATATATCGGGTCTCAATAGCTCAGTTGGTTAGAGCGCTGGCACGGTACGCCAGAGACCCTGGGTTCGAGTCCCGGTTGAGACTTGATTTTTCACCACCTGTGACATATGGCGCCCATACAAAACCCACTATTTCCTTGGAACATGCCTCACAGCATTTCCTTAACTCGTTTCGAGGACGAATTTCTACAAAGAGGGGAAATATTCACCGGGTTCACAGGTGCGTGAAAGTTCAAAATATTGGGTCTCAATAGCTCAGTTGGTTAGCGCTGGCACGGTACGCCAGAGACCCTGGGTTCGAGTCCCTAGACTTGATTTTTCACCACCTGTGACACTAATTTAAATTAAACTCCCTGTGTGAACAGAGCATCGATGCACCAAATATCAAGTGCGGTTTGACAAGCCCGATCTAAATTAAAACTGAATAAGTATCTGCCCTCACCCTAACAGTGTTGCAGTGTATATTCAACTAATAATAAGTGTAGTGTGAATTAGCCCCTCCATGGTAACTGCGGTACTGCTCTTTTGCAGGGCAAAATAATAATGTTTGGCAAAGTTTTTGTTGAGAGATAATTATAAATGATGTATATTTAACAATTACTTATACGTCATATTTCACCAAACTATATCATTTTGCCCTGCAAAAGAGCAGTACCGCAGTTACCTTGAAACGGTCTGTAAGAGTATCACTATGATGGATAGTGGAGTGCTGAATTTTTTGTTTTGAAAGTGAGTCTTGTTGAAATTAAATGCTCACATATATTTAAATAAAAAGTAAAAAACTGTTAGAACTTTAAAAGGCTAACAGAAAGCATCTGAGCTTTAAAACAGATGTATCGGTGTGTCTGTGTATTTCTAAAAATATCAATGCTCTAAGCTGCCATAGTACAGCTGTAGTAATGTAAATTTTACGTAAAATAAATTTCTAACCTGCATTCCGATGGTTCACGCCAATCAGACTTTAAAATGTCACCGTCGACTCTTTCATCACTCGATACATTTATCACTGGGAACTACGAACCACAGTCACGGCTTGTTAATGTTACAGTCGGAATTTCCTCGTAAACAATTCACACAAAAATTTATAAATCGGATAATTCTGTTAAGGTAATGCTCCATAGGATTGATAAAGTACTTCGTAGCTGCAGATTAAATGTGCGTGCATGTCTACATACGGCTTGTGGCTTGTGTGGTAAATGCTCAACTTCACATGTTTGTAAACATGTGTCCGATTTTTGGGACACACTAATAACCGGATATACGAAAGACCTGATATTTACCTGATGTTTTTATTTTAGATTAAATGACAATATTGAGTACTTCAAATGACTTATTTAAAGACTTTATGACTATGATGCATAATGCTATACAAAAATTCGTTTGTTTTGAATATTTACTGACGATTTTGAAACAGGTCAAATAAGGTTTTTAATATATCAGGTCTTTAGTACCTTCTCATTTCCCACAATGGGGAGGGTATAATGCCCTGATAGTATAATGCCCTGATTGACCTGATTGAGTACAAACGCAAAAATACAAAGTTTTTAAATGTAAAACCTATATTTTTCTTGTTGGAAATATTAAATATTATTATTATCTATATGATTCAGGGAAAAAACCGCAATTAAAATCTGTTTAGGGGGATTTATTTCACATGTAAATTTGACAGGGGTATAATGTCCTGATTTTGCGGTATAATGACCTGATTGCCTGATAATATAAAAACTTGCAACAAAAGCAATTTTTCATTGATTTCTTTTTTGAATCATATTTTATTAATTTAATGTATGAAATATAAAACTTATTCATGCAAATTTAGAATTTTTTTTCTTATTATTTGTTATTCTAAAGCGATTTGAATTTTTGCAAGGGTATAATGTCCTGATTTTTGAATGCCCTGATTGTGATTAATGGTGCATTTAAGTCATTTCTTTATTGTTTTGTTTAAAGTTATGAATGTTTTATATACAAATCTGGTAATTTAAAGTCCAATTTTGTAGAGGATCTATGTTGCTGTGTTTGTGTGTTTGTTTTTTTTTTATTGTAGAACTCTTAGCCATGCTTTGAAATTATGCATGT